CTGTCCTCCCATCGTCGGCCTTTCCCCCTTGCGGCCGCACCGTCGGGACCACCAGGGGCCTCGGTTCAGAGGTGCCGTGATCGAGGTTCAGGGGGGCAGGCAGCGGTCACCGTGTCACATGCGCAGCTCCTGGCTGTGCCCCAGGGGGCGCTGTGGCCGCTGACCGGGGAGTAAGCGAGCCCCACCCTCCGGGGCTCTGCCAGAATGGTGAGGGGGACCTCCCACACGGGGGCTGTGCCCACTCTGGGGGCAGGACTCAGTGGGGTCTGCTTTATTCTTTTTTTCCTTTAACCTCCGGCGAGCACAGCCTTCTGGGTAATGAGATGCAAATTGACAGGAAAGACAATGAGCCAGCCTGGGCCGGTGGGGCAGCTCTGAGAGCAGGCTGATTGCCTCCGTGCCATTTGCATGGCATTAGCGGTGCCCGCCTCCTCCGGCGAGCTCGGCACTTCCCCAGAGGCCACCTGAGGGTCGCTTTCAACAAGAGGTGGTGCCCTGTGGTCCGGACCTGGGCCAGGGCAGGGCCACGCCGCCCTGACCTGATGCGGGCTCCACGGTGTGGCCCCATGGAGCCGGAGCCTGTGGGGAAGGCCCGTGGACAGGCCGAGGGGTGGGGACAGAGTCAGCCCGGGCTCCGGACAGGCCCGGCTCAGGGTCCGGGCTCAGGGTCAGGGCTTGGCAGGCCCAGAGGTCTGCGTAGCCAGCCCGATGCTTCCAGCCGAGCCTGTGCTGTAAAGGTGGCAAACGGGTCTGAGGCAGAGGGAGGCCTGGCCCGGCCTGGGGTGCCCCGTACAGGCCCAGGTCTGCCCATAATGGCACCATCGCCTGGGGCGATGCAGGTCTGGGCTCCCGCACTGGGCAGCGGGGCCCCAGCCTCAAGGTTTCCGCGGTCTTCAAGCCCGACCCTGCCTGCTGTGCACTCAGTAACAGTGCCCTTGCCAAAGCCAGTTTTGCTCAGTGGATAGAGCGTCGGCCTGCGGACTGAAGGGTCCCGGGTTCGATTCTGGTCAGGGGCAGGAACCTTGGTTGCGGGCACATCCCAGTAGGGGGTGTGCAGGAGGCAGCTGATAGATATCTCTCCCTCATCGATGTTTCTGTCTATCCTTCTCTTTTCCTCTCTGTGAAAAACCAATAAAAATATATTTTTTAAAAAATAGTGCCCTGTCACTCTCCCTGTCACCCAAGGCCGCCCCGGGAGCCCTGCCTGGAGTGGGGCCCAGAGAGCCTAGCCCTCTGGTCGGCAAACTGCGGCTCCCAAGCCACATGCGGCTCTTTGGCCCCTTGAGTGTGGCTCTTCCACAAAACACCACGGCCTGGGCGAGTCTATGTTGAAGAAGTGGCGTTAGAAGAAGTTTAAGTTTGAAACATGTGGCTCTCAGAAGAAATGTCCATCGTTGTCCTGCTGGTATTTGGCTCTGTGGACTGATGACCAAGCCTCCTGCTCTGTCCGCGGTGCTGAAAGTCTGGGCCCAACCTGCCCTGAGGTCCCTGCCGCCAGTGCTCCCTGACCCCTGTCACCCAGGGCAACCAGAGGAAGACCCCGCTCCTGCCGCACCCTCCCCGGACAGAAGACAGCGGGGCCAGGGGCGCCTTCCTCCTGCCCTGCACCCCCAGCCGGGCCAGCCCCCCACCGAGCAACCCCAGCGCCCCACTCCCTCTCCCCCTGAGGTTGGGCCTAATCAGAGCTAATCAGAAAATTATGAGCTGCCTGATTACTGATTAGGTTCCTAATGTTAATAGAGTTGAGAAGGACCCGCTCAGGCAGTGTTTTGGGGGAACGTGTAAAAATAGCATCGCAGGAAGGGGCATGGCGGGGAGGGGCCCCGCCGTCCTCGCAGACGGGGCTCGGCGCTGCTTTCCGTGGGAACGCGGCTCCTGGCGGAGGCCTCCTAGCAGCGAGTGTCCGCCAGGCAGCTCTCACCGGGCGGCCCCCAGCGGCCTGAGCTCAGGACTGGCCGATGGCCGTGCGGGCGAGGCGGCGTAAAGAGCCCACTGCCCGGCTCAGGGGCTGAGCGTCCACCTAGGAGCCAGGAGGTCACGGTTCCATCCCCGTCAGGGCACAGGCCCGGGTGCGGGCCGGATCCCCAGTGGGGGGCGTGCAGGAGGCAGCCGATCCATGATTCTCATCGTTGATGCCTCTCTCTCTCTCCCTCTCCTTCTCCCTCTCCCGCTCTGAAATTTTACTTATATATAAAGAAGGGACCTCGGAGGGCAAGGCCGGGGTGCCAGTTGTGCCCAGGAGGCTCTGGTGTTGGTGGTGCACTTAACAGGAAGGCAAAGCCCTGCCACGCGTGAGCCCTGGGTCCCAGGCAGCACCCAGCCGTGCCCACGCCCTTCTCCCCACCCCTCGGAGCCCAGCACAATGGGAGCGGGGACAGGAGCTGCCCTCAGGCCGTGGGGCGTGAGGCTGAGCCCACAAAGCTCTGAGCTCATCGATGGTAGTGGTCAGGGTAGCCACCCTCGGAGCAGGCCCTGTGCCCTGCAGCGCCCACGGGCTACGCGCTGTGCAGGGACGGGGCCGAGGGGGGTCCCCTGACCCCTGACTGTGGGTGGACCTGCTTGAAGCGGGCTGGGCAGAGGGACAGGCGCCCACTCCGGTCAAGGCAGCAGGAAGGAGAGCCGGCAGGGCCGGGACCCCCGCCCGTCTGCCTGGCTGCCCCGATGGTGGGTCCTGGGTGCTCCGGCTCCCTCCTCGCTAAGCTGCACCTTGCTTCATTATCATGCAGATATTTTAATTATGCAGATATGTTTTTAGACATTTTTAAATATGTATATTATTTACTCATTAGACCATAACAGCTCTGGAAATTGGAAATCTGTATTTGGTATCTATCAGCGCACAGTAGAGAGCTAACACAGGGCCCGCAGGAGGAGGGAGGTGGGCACCCTGGTGCCTACACGCCCCCAGGGCCCAGGCCCGGTGACACCGTGGTTGGTGGGGGGCTCAGAGCAGCATCTGGGGGCCCCGTGACTGGTCCGCTCTCCTGGGGGACAGCAAAGGAACCACCTGGGGCAGGTGCGGGGTCCTGCGGCCGGGCCCCTCCTGCCAGGCCGGTGCTGCCCCAGGCGTCCGCTGTCCCACATGCCGTCCACCCCCGTTTGCTGCCTCCATTCCGCACCGGGGCCGGGGGCCGTGGAGCTCACCCGGGGAAGAGGGGGCACAGAGGAACCCCTTCTCAGGGTCTGGCTAGGGGTGGGTTGGGGAGGGGAGGAAGAGGAAGAGGCACTGTCCTCAGGATTAAGTGTGCACTCGCCGTGGGCAGCTCCTGGGATGGGAGCAAGGGGGCTGCGGGGGTCTACCCGCTCGGGGGGTCCAGTGTGCACTCAGACACTGCGCGCAGGAGGCCACTGGCTCAGGTCAGGCAGGATTTGAACCCAGGCCCGTGCTCCGAGACCCCCAGGGTCCAGGCTCTGACCCACGACCCCTGGGGATCCTCAGGCCTGCCTCTTGGGTGGTCCCAGCCCTCCCTCTGCCCCCCTCCCCCCGGCTCATCCTCACACCTGACCGGACACGGGCAGCCACACTGCCCACCGCAGGCCGTTCAGATGCCCAGCCCCCCTCCCGCCCCTGCCCCCCAGGCCTGTGCTTAGCAGTTTGCCCGCGTGCGGCGCCCGGGCCCGGCTGATTGATCTGTAACACCGAGAAAATAATAATGGCCTGATGGCTGCGAGGATTAAACGTAATCCTTTCGCTGCGGCTATTGCAACTGTTATTCTCGCGTCAGCGGCTGACCCCCGCCTCCGAGCCCGAGGGGCCCCGAGAAGCCAGGGAGGCCGGGTTCGGGGCCCCACCCCTGGCCCCCCTCCTGGGCCAGGGCGCTGGGGGCTCAGCCTCCTGTCCTGGGCCTGGAATCCCGCAGAGCTGAGCCCGGGAGCGTCAGGAAGGGGCGGCAGCGATGGCTCCCACTCCCGCCCTCCTCACACTCCACCCTCCTCCAGGCCCGGCCGAGCCGTGTCCTAGGTGCTCCGTGAGCAGTCATGTGATCAGCGGTGTTCACCATGTGTGTCACCGCGCCACACGCCACGTGCTGGGGTGCGCTTTAGGGGGAAGGGGGCCCCCAGACGGAGAGGGGGGCAGGAGGTGGGCACATGTGGGCCCCTGGGGCCTCACGGCAGCCCTGTGCCTTTTTCTCTCATTGATTCCAGAGAGGAGGGCAGGGGAGAGAGAAAGAGAGACGCTGATGTGAGAGAGACACATCCGTCGCTGCCTCCCGCACATGCCCACAACTCTAACCACCAAGCCACACCAGCCGGGGCGACTCTGCCTTTTATAAAAGGAAAGTTTTGCCTTTTATGTGCAGAGCCCTGGGGGGCTGCTGAGGATGTGGAGACTTGGGGGACCACCTGCTCAGATCCACATCTTAAAGGCTCCAGGGGCCGTGGAGCTAGATGTCAGAGAGCAAGGAGGACGCAGGGCCTGAGGAGCTCAGAGCCTGGGGCGGGGGGTGGGGGGGCATCCTGTCCACAGGTGGTTTGAGTGATAGCAGGGGCACCGGTGGTGGACCAGACCGGGCAGAGGCGGGCGGTGGGCAGAGGCGGGCGGTGGGCAGAGGTGTGCGGGGGAAGAGGCGGGCGGTGGGCAGAGGTGTGCGGGGGAAGAGGCGGGCGGTGGGCAGAGGCGGGCGGGGGAAGAGGCGGGCGGTGGGCAGAGGCGGGCGGGGGAAGAGGCGGGCGGTGGGCAGAGGCGGGCGGTGGGCAGAGGCGGCGGTGGGCAGAGGCGGCGGTGGGCAGAGGCGGGCGGTGGGCAGAGGCGGGCGGTGGGCAGAGGCGGGCGGGGGCAGAGGCGGGCGGTGGGCAGAGGCGGGCGGTGGGCAGAGGCGGGCGGTGGGCAGAGGCGGCGGTGGGCAGAGGCGGGCGGGGGCAGAGGCGGGCGGTGGGCAGAGGCGGGCGGTGGGCAGAGGCGGCGGTGGGCAGAGGCGGCGGTGGGCAGAGGCGGGCGGGGGCAGAGGTGTGTGAGGGCGTTTCTCCTGGGCTCTGACCTCCCTGTGCTCTGTCCGCAGAGACTGGCCGACGCCGCAGAGACCTTCCAGAAAGCCCACCGCTGGCAGGACAACATCAAGGTGAGACTGCGCCCCCCCCCCCCCCCGCGGGCGCCGCTGGAGGACCCGCCGCCGCACTCGGGTCACAGTCCCCTGCACCCCACACGGCCACGTGCTTCTCGGGATCCGTGTCCCAGTGTGAGAGGGATGCTGGTCGGCGACGGCCTGTCGCTTGGACAAGGTGCTATAATAAAAGGGCCATCCAGCTGCCAGCTGTTAGGGCCCGGCCAGTGGCAGGGTGGGTGCAGCTGGGGCACAGCACCCCCGGGCCCTGGCTGCTCCTCCCTGAGAGGTGGCAGGCATGAGCTCCGGCTGGTCCACCCCCGGCGTGGCCTGAGATGCCGCTCCAGTGGGGGGTGGCCACAGGCCCGGTGGGCCCAGCCTGGCTGCCCGGTGCCCACAGTGCCCGCCCCAGTCCGTCAGCTCTCCTGTCCATCTGTCTGTCCAGCCTCGGGAGCTGGAGTCTCCCCTCCACAGCAGAGGGTCAGGTGCTGGTGTTCCCAGCTCCCGGGCTGCCCGGTGCTGACCAGCACGCCGCCAGCCCATTGCCAGCACGCCGCCAGCCGGGGCTGCCAGGGACCTGGCCGCAGCTGCAGGTGGGGACCGGCCAGGCTGAGGGAGAGGTGGGCGCTTTGGCTGCGGAAGGCACACCACCCGCTCCTGGCACCATGTTCTTCCCAATGACCTTCAGCTGTAAACCCGGGCCCTTTAGGGAGACCTGTCCGTGGGCCTGTCCGTGGGCCTGGCTGGGTGCCCTGTGGACAGTGTGGCCGGGCGCCGCTGAGACTCGGTCTTCTCGCCTCTGAAATGGGGAGGGTGACACCCCACAGTTCTGAGCACAGATGCATGGCCCACGGGGGCCAAACGGGAACCCACTGCACGATCAGCAGCTCACAGTAGGTCTGCACGTAGACTTCTGGGAAACGGACAATGGCGTCCCCTTACCCGCACACACCTCCACTCTGCCACCCCAGCCTGCGGACGTGGGTCCTGGAGTCTCCAGGGTCAGAGCTGGGACCGGAGAGGGAGGGGAAGTGTCCGCCTCGTCCCAGGGCCTGTCCTCCTCCCCCGGCCGTGACGGGCAGGGAGCCTGCAGTCACAGCCGCGGACACTGAGAAGCCAGGGCCTCGTTAGCGGCAGCACCTCCGTGGCCCGCGCTCAGCCAGGCAGCAGGTGCGCTGGTGCATGACCTCATGGCGGTGATGGCGCCAGCGCCTCCCTGCGCCACCGTTATCCGCCAGCTACCCCGCCAGCAGGAGGGAGCAGGCCGGGGCATGGGCGGGGGAGGGAGGCCACCCCCGGCCTCCTCACTGCCACCCCCGGGCCTCAGTGCCACCCCCAGGGCCGGAGGAAACCAGCCCCGCCCGGGCTCAGCCCCGCCCAGCCCCGCCCGGGAGTCCCAGGGAGGACGCAGTTCGGCCCCAGGGCGCCCCACGGGGAGGCAGCCGCCTCGGGTGTCTGATGAGAGAGGCGGTCTGCAGCCAGGCCCGCTCGGGCGCCGGCTGGACAGACAGGTGGCCTCCTGGCCCGCCGTCCGCCCCGCCATCAGGCTGGCTGCCTGCCTGGCCGCGCGGCGACAGACGGCTCTCCCAGAAAACGGTCCCCGCGGCCGCGCCGGGCTGGCGGAGAGCCAGCAGGGAGGCCGGTGCCCTCACGGCGACGCCGGGCGCTGGCCCGGGCCCTGCACTGAGGCCGGCCGGGCGAGCGGGCGGGCGGGTGGCAGTCAGGTCTGGCCAGGCCATGGCACCCGCCCTCAGGGCACCGCATGGCTCTTCCCCAGCCCCCCTGCCCACGTCTTCATCCCGTTCCCCCTGACCACCCCCCTCGGGCCATCTCGGGCTCAGCTCCAGCTGAGGAGAGTGTCAGCTGTCGGCACAGGGCATGTGGGCCCACAGCCCGCCCTCGCGTGCCACTCTGCACAGAATCCACGGGGGGGAGTTCAGAGGGGGATTCCCTCACCTCTGCCCAGTCTGAGCAAAATGGCCCGTCGGATGCCAGGAAACGGGGGGGGGGGGGGGGGGGGGGGCAGTGTGGGCCCCGACTTCAAAGACGCCCCTTCACCCCCAGAGGGTTTCTGGCACATCCCGGCCCTCCCAGGCTGTGAGGCTGCACACATACGGGGTCCCCCGGGGTTAGGGGTGGCCCTTCCCCGTGGGGGGGCCTAGCTCCCTGCCCCCTGAGCAGCCTCAGAGGAGGGCGTCCTCCTGATTATCAGAAGGAGCCCTGACCCCCAGGTTAGGCCTCCCTGGGCCACAGGGTTTGGTGGTGAGATGGGGTGACACCGGGAGCCCTCCTGGGCCCCCTGGGGTCTGCACTCGCTGCCCAGGGTCCCAGAGCTCACACGCGCAGGTCAAGTGCAAGCCAGCACCGTGTGCCATCGCTGGGGGTGCTGCCTCCTGACCCGCCCAGAGGGGGCACTAATGTGGGCACGGCGTGGCTCAGGCCACAGCAGACACAGGCCTTTCCAGGGACACCCCCCAGCGCCACGTCACAGCACCCCGGCTGAGTCTCCCGTGCACTCGCACACGCGTGGCCTCGCCTGCCACCACCCTCCGCCAGGAAGGCCATGGCTGGCCTCCGTGGCGGGAGAGCTGGGGAGGAGTCCCAGCCACGTGCACCAGGCCCTGGGCACAGGAGCCGCACGCAGGCTCCGGAGCCGCACCCGGGTCCCCGGGGCTGGCCCTCCTGTGACGCTTCCCCCGGGCCCTGATCCCCCGACACGGGGTGCTCTGCTGCAGCCAGGAATCCAGGCGGAGGAAAGGGGCCATCGGAGCAGCCGGAGCGGGCACGGCAGTGCCGGGGGCTCCGGGGGCAGAGGGGCGGCCTGCGAGGGAGCCTTTCCCGTCCCCCAGGAAGGTCCCCCAGGGCTGGCGGTGCAGCCCCGAGGGAAGGAGCCAGAGCCGGGCGCCC